ACCACTCCGCGCTGCTGGGGAAGCCTGCGGAGAGGCCATACCCAGCCCCGTGCTTCAGAGAACACAAAGAGCCTTCTCTGCAGACACAGCATACACAAACTAAGTTTAAGAAAGGTTTTTCAGTGAGGTGGAAGAATTCCCACCCCCGCCTTTTTTATTTAAACACAAATTCCCTCCCTAAAACGTTAAGCATAAATAATCTCACATTCAAGTATCCAATGCAAAGGTCACGAGGGGATGGGAGTTCTCCCACTGATCCTGGTTAGGTACTTAATTTCCCTGCCTCCCCCTTGCCTGCATTTTAGTTACGGCTGGCAAACGATGCAATGCTTTTATCAGCTACACACGTTCCACTTCCCACAGAGGCTGTGCCAGGGCAGAGGACGTGGAGGCAGGGTCCCAGGCAGCACCGAGCAGGGTGGGGGAGGCTGCAGGCACCCGAAGGCTCTGCAGAGGGGAAGAGGAACGAATGCTATTTCAAAAGTGCCAGGAAGAATGCAAAGGTCAGACAGAACTGCAGGAGGGAAGGACGACGGTGATGGAATGGAGGGAAAAAATCAAAAGAATTTCACAGACACAAAGTCCAATATATGTAAGTATGTATCTATACAAATATGTATATAAAAACATATATATAAGGTGAAAGCCAAAGAGTGAGTGTAATAATGTTTTTCTATAAACACATACCTGCTGGGGAATGATGATACGCAGGCTGGATTTAACTACCAGCATTAACCCAGGCAATGAAACAGAACAGTACTAAAAATTAAATCAAGCATCACCATACCATACTCGGAAGTAAGACCACCCTCAGGTGGTGGGGCCTTGGGGGCAGCAGTCCTGTAACTACGGGGGATGGGGAAAGGGGACTCCTGTACTACCGGAGAGGGATCTGCCCCGGCCGTCGGCGTCACCAGGTCGGATCCAGCTGCACTGTGAGCCTTCAGTTGCTGACAATTCTTTCATTACGCTCTGCTTAACACCAATGTAAACAGGCAGTTGAAAGAGTCCACCAAACACATTCTCCCCCCCAAGTCAACATACGAAATCCAGAATCATTGTCACATGATAAAAGAATGATTTATTAGAGCAACTTTATGATAAAATTATATAAAATAACAATTTATTTTTTTAAAGACATCCACAATATCACCTTGAAACAAAATGTACATATACCGCCTATAATCCAAACAAAAATAAATTACCATTCAAAAAAAAAAAAACCAAAAGCAGAAAAAAACAGGGCAGGAGAAACAAATCAAAATTATACACAACATTTCAAGAGGGTGTGGAAAAGAGAAAGTCATTAATTGATTCAAGTTATACAAACGTGTTTCAGCTTTACTCTCAGACAGCTCAGCTTGCATTTGTGTTGCATGCAAATGGAATGATCCAGTGAACAGTTCAGAACAGCAGAATCAGCAGCGTAACAACAGCAGAGTGAAATAGGCACAATTCAGCACGGGGCACATTGAAAGTGAACAGGTAGTTCTGTCTGGTCTTCGCAAAAAAGTGATACACATCTACTGAACTTCAAAAATATCCAGTGCGATCTGCAAAACAAGAGAAAACTAGTAGAGTCTTGCACTTCAATACTTTACACTTTTAAATCGCCTGTTTGTCTCCTCTTTTTTTCAGTAGGCCGTATGTGAACATTCCACTAGTTGTACCTTTACTACCATACTCGAAGATGATGCTGCAGACGTTCTTCCCTCCTGGAGCACGAGCACAACATGACATCACCGTAGACACATCTAGGTCCTCGCTCGCAAAGCTCGTGCACATTCTCGCAGGAATTTATATTCGTGCCATCAGAACAGAGCGACAGGTTATTACATTTGAAAGCGTCGAACTGAGAACGTGGTTTTCAAGTATAGCGGCAGAGCTGAGGGCTGGGATTTTGAAAGGTGCTCACGGTGTCGGGCACCCAAAGCCTATGGAAACCCAACAGGACCTGAGCACTTCCTTCTCCAGGACTTTGAAAATCCCACCCTTCGGTACATTTCTTTCATCAGATACAAAACACAGGAAAGCAATGTGGTACGAGAGTGACCCACAAGTCGGCACCACCCCTACCTGGCCCAGCCACAGCTCACAGAAGCCAACCGGTATCTCGCACACTGATGCTGGGTCACCCAGCCACGCCACGACACGTCTGTTACGGTCACACCGGAGTCACACGGAGGCATGTTTTCATGGTTGCATACAGTACTGCTCGTAAGAATGAACAATCAGCGAAGGAGTAACGGTCAGGTGGGTTAGCTCTTTGGCTTATCTGGAGCAGACAAGTACAAATGGGGTGCACTTCAGAAGCAGAGAATACAAGAAAAAATATCTTGCATTTCATCATTGTCTAGCAAAACTGTCTTAAATGCAAAGAACCGAGGATGAACATTGTGTCAGGACACAGAAGCACTTTATAGTTCGGCTGAGTCACAAATAAAACCTATCAAGCTGTGCATCCTCCCCCCCTTCAGACACTCATTTCCAAACTATAAACAGACACCGATTGTTGCACCCTTATTAGCCCCTTGAAGAGGGTTGGTTTAATTGATGTAAGGTGTCTGTGGGCGCCCTCTCATGTTCAGAACAGAGCAACCAAGGAAGAAAATCCATCCCTGATGTGTTCATAAATGAAAGAAGAATTAAGCATTTTCAAGTGAAAGTATACCGAAGTCCCATCACGGACATGTTGTAGAGAAACAAAGTCCACTAGAGCATAGCCATGAAGATGTGGAAACATGGGTAACAAATAATAATAGAAGTCAGATATCTGAGTAATTCACGTGTCTCCACAGCAAAACTGAAACTAACAGCAACACCCCATCTGTGAAGGTCCTTAACTCCTAGAGAGTTGGGGTAGCACCTGGTTGGTTCAAACCCTAACCAAGAAGGGCCTGATAAAATTGTGTCTGTCAGGAACGATACCACCACCTATGATATTCATCAAGGACACAGTCAGGTATCTCAAGAAAAGACAGATCAGAATAAACGACTGAATTAACACATTCAGATAGTGCATATGTTACAGGCAGAAGAATATCAAATGCAAATCCTGTTTTGATTCTGCATTCATCTACGTGAAATCCAGCAGATTTCTTCATGGAAGAGCATCTCCACACAAGCAGATGAGTCTTATAACCTACTGGAAATCTTGGAAGGGTACTTGCACCTATTGTTTACCAGCCAGCATCCTGCACGCTCAAAAGAAACTAATGGCCTGTTGGCATACTCCCGTTTTGGGACCGCTCCTCTTGCTGCTGAAACTGATAGCAAGCTCCCACCGGCTTCACCAGGAAAGCAATCACGGTCTTCACTAGTAAGACTAAACACTTTGTGAGCATCCCTATTTATTTCAATTACTTTAGCAGGTTCCCACTGTTACAACATTCTAGCAGAAAAGCTCAGGTAACTACTGAAGCTAACTAAGGAATCCACTACTACCCACCCCAAAATATAAAGTCAGCACACAAGCAGCAGTCAAGCTTGGGAAACCATTTTCACTGGTTAAACTACACACTGTGTGAGGGCAAAGTAGAACTCATCTGCTCACCTTTCCCAGTAAATGTATCCTCCACAGCTACAGAAGAACTTCTTTACCCCATTACTGTTTATTGACCAGGAAGAACGAAAAAGGAATCGATACAAGACAGGAAAAAAACTGGGAGCAAACACGTCTGGAAGAGGTCCCCTCAAAAACAAACCTTTTGTTCTTAAAGCAAGAAAAAATTGCTTTGCATTTTACAGTTTAACTGAAAGACAGAACAGAAAAACCATCTTTTTTTTAAACAAGGAATTGCTCAGTGCAACTGCACGTAATCCTTAGTGTTCCTAGGATTACAACAGACCAAAAATAAAATTCAGACAAAAATCCCAAACGTACCAAGTGCTTGACACTGCTGAGTAGTTTCTGAAGAATACCACGGAACGGTGTCTTCAAGCACTTTTGCATTGAAAAAAAATTCATAACAGATCTAGCCATAAAGGTGGAGCTACATTTAAGCCATTATTTTTTCAGGGCTGTCAAATGAACACTAGTTCACAGCAACTGTGCAATCAGGTTTATTACATGAGCCATTGGAACAGATGTTTTTCTCAGCAATTAGCTGATCGCAAACATCTTCGTCTCTGGCCCAGCCAAGAGCATTTGTAGCTCCTTGTAAAAAGACTGTATATTTAAAAGAAAAAAAAAAAAAAAAGAAGAAAAGCAGCATTTGTACCAAAATCGTGAACATTTGGCAATCTAAACTGTAAAATCTGACTTTTTGTACCCACCCTAAACTTTGGGCCTAAAACACCATCAAAAATAGTAACTGTATTAGTAGTCTTTACATTCATACCATTACTAACTTTTACACTATCCTACGAGAAAAACAGAAGGGTTTATTCTGTCTTATTTTGGTTTTTGGACTGAAAATATGAGGATGTACAACTTCAGTGTGGTCACCTTTTTATGACCGCTGCAAAGGACTTCTTACACAACCGTACTGAGAGTTTCTCCTAGAAACTCATGATATTGCACAATCATTCTGTTGAGTTTGCACGTGGATTCCAACAGAGTTGTAATGTTTCACTTGTACAATTAAAAAAACCCCAAACAAACCCAAAACAGATACAGTACCAACAAAAGTGTTTTTTAAATTGCGCCTCATTACAACTGAATAATTAAGAACAGGGCAACGCAAGAACACCTTAGCTTCAGCAGTACTGAATGGAGCGTATGCAAAGCCTGTTTTCTTATGGCACACTGGAAGAGTAAGCGAGTAATCTTCTAAAAATCAGCTTGCCTTTATGCTGAGTATGTGCTGCTCCACAGTGCTAGTCTTGTTTAAAAGGCATACACAGACTTTCCATTCACCCTCACAGCATAGACTGGGGTTTTTTTTGTGCAACATGTTAGCAATCTAAACAACTGCTCCACACAAACTGTCCACTAACCACTCATACACAATACTAATGCGACAGTAGATTACAATATGATAGCAATACAAAATATTCTATCAGATCACATATTTCTCTCCTTCTGGAATGAAATTTGAATCTTGTAAGCTAGAAGACCCACAGTTCGATTTCTGTACGTAGTTTCTCCTCTGCGCTGGGGACACAGTCTCCATCGTGGACCCAGAAGTGTTAGCAGTCCTGACTTTAGTGGCTGTAGATTGTTTAGCAGCAGAAGATGATGCCTTGTTACTGGCAACTACATCCAAGTTTCCAGTAGGGTCAATGATAGCATTTATGACTGGGAGGAGGGAAAAAAAAGAAAAAAAAAAAAAAGAGACATACAACAACATATTAGCAGCACTCAGCAGAGTTTCTAAACAGAAGGTTGCTGCCTTCATTTTGAAAGCAGTACTCGCATTCATTTTAGTCATGATATTCTCTTCTTGAGTACCTTCAGGCCTAGGCAGTTTTAACAAGCAAAACGTCTCCCAAACTGAAGCTACGAGGACACTCAACTTTCCGGTTAAATTGGAAAAGACAAACTATAGCAGCCAAATGGCAAGCTTTTAGCAGGAGCCTTAAATGACACCTGTATGTTTTTATACGTCTTTATTAAGCTTCTAGATGATGCAAGAGCTTGTGTTGCCTCTTCTACTGCACAGAGCTCTATGTGCAAAATTCAAGTCCAAAAAGCCTAACACAGCTTATTGACTGAACAAGCTGCTAAATATTATTTCAGCAGAACAGACCTTTGCCAGTTCACCTTATGGGAATATGCTAATTACCACAAACAAAGCATTTCCACAGCAACAGCTTCCACATTTCTCAAAAGTCAACAATTTTCTTAGAAATTGGCATCACATGATAAATCTACTGTTCATTCCATATGCACTCGTCAGAGAGCACTGAGCTAACAAACTGAACTTCTGCATCCTTTCCCAGCTTTCACTGGCAAATCAAGCCACGTTATTTAATTTTCTGCAACTTATTGGCACTTGAGCAACAAAAAAAACATTTTAAATGACCAACCTTCAAGCTGTTTTTGAACCCTCCTGAGCTCCTTCAGGATAGAACTGATTTCCTAGAAACAAAAGCATCAGAATGGAAAATTAAGCAACAAAGTACTCAACTGACACAGGAATTTAGTATTACTCCTTCTGCCTTATCTGATCAAGAAGATTCAAAGTCAGTTCCAACCTTGCTTGTTTAACAGAAAGACAAAGCTGGTAACTGTATCGAGGTGCATTTGGTCAGTGCACAGGGACCTCTGCTCTAAATCATTTCACGAAGTGCTACAAGACCACCCAGTTCATAGCCAGGCTGATTTTTAGATTTGGAACGCTAGCCAGACTAACTGCACAAAGGCTCCTCCACATCCTCCTTAATACCAAATTCATCAAGATATTTGTAAACTCAACTCCTAGACTAGGAAAAGCAATTGGCCACACATGTGCTGCTGTAGCACCGAGCTACACAGGACCTCCACAGCGTTATACGTACATTTAGCATTAACCGTATTTGCTGGGTCCATTATTGTACTTAAATCCCTACTGGCAGTTCCCAAAGACGGTAAGAGGTCAGGTGAGCACAAACACCACCTTAGGGCTAAAGCTATTTTACTGCCCTATTATCAAACTGTTACGGGTGAAGAAAACAAACATTCACGAGAAACACCTGTCTACAACTGAAGCTGGGGCAACCACATGGCAGGTGATGCTTTGGCAGATGTTTAAATAATGCCTAATGACCCTGAACTTGAACATCTGTCATTGATGTCAAGATGACTCACAAAGGGAGAGAGGAAGAATTTGGTGAAACACCAACAGCTGGAGGAACTCACTTTGTCACACTTCATACAGCAATAATAAACAGTAGTTCAACACAAGCACACGGACTAGAAATTTCAGAAACGGATTTGAGAAAGGCCAGCGCTTGTTATTTTGGTTTCTTACAAAGCTTTCATGGACACAAGCCTTAGGTGTTTCACTTGTTCGCATGGTCTTACCTTGTTTGATGTCTTCAGAATTGGCACTTCGTTTTCTGAATTAATTTTGGCCTCCATCTCCTCCCAGGTCCTTTCCGAGTTTTGAAACAGAATCCTGCAGCACAAAAAGTGGAGCAGGTCTTAAAATTGCCATCCAAAAGCTTCTTGTTTAACAGACTTAACTACCACAAGATGTGGCAACAAGGGAGATTAGTGGATTAGTGACCCGACAAAGCGTCTTTCAGCTGATTTAGGAACAATCCAAAGCCCTTCCTTAACTGATGTCTTCTAGAGCAACAACAGGCTTTGAAGAGCTTTCACAAGCCCTGGTGACCTGCAGGCTTTCTGAAAGCCTTGGGACAGGGGAGGAAAGAGGAGACAATCCACCAACAGGAATACATTCTCTGCTAACTATTTGCACAGGCAACATTTCAAAGTTAAGGCATCCACAAACATTACAAATTCAGCATTAAAATTCCAAAGGCCAAACATGAAAACAAGAGACAGCAAAGAATCATGTTACCTCTCGTTCACTACACACACAGTTTCCTACATCTAGATTCCCTGCATCTTGATAAGAAGACTTTCCAAGACAGCACTGCGTTATCTTCCACAAGTAGCAAGCCAACAAACCCAGCAACAAGTCAACATTTCAAGCCAGGGCTGAAAGTTACTTACTTCATTTTTTCAGCTAGGTTTTCTGTATTTTCACGGATTGCATGTGACAACTGGGACACTGGGTTCAACATCAGATTGTCAAAGATTACCTGAAATATAAGGGTGGATCAGAGAACTTTTAGCAGAAGCGACATATTACAAAACTGGAAGTTTATACAGTAAATGATCTCCACTGAAATACCTTCATCTATAGGGATATTTGAAGTTAAAGGGAGATTAAGATTACATGCAGCTTTGTTGAAGCACTTTGGCAAAAAGACTAATACTAACTTGTCTGGATTTTTTTTTCCTTGAGAAGCGTACTGTTGTCTGCAGTAAGATAACTATTTAAGCATTTCTGAAAGAAAAAGTTTAAGACTTTCCAAGCCTCATAGGCACCTCCCCACCCCACCACCCCCCAAAAAAAAAACCCCAAAAGCCAAATCACAATGCAAGAAGTCCCACAAGCAGTCTCACTGAAACCATCTAATGTGATTTATATGAGTTCAAGCGACCTTCACACCCATGTAATCCCACCACGTTACATCGTGCTTTATTAAAAACAACCATAACAAACCAACAAACCCCAAATATTCTAGTCCTGTGGTCCAAAAGAGCCCCCAGGCTTCTGCCAGGAAAGCCAACATCAGCTGGGGGCACTCTGAACCTCCACCTTTATTCTGCCTTGGCATGTCTCTACAGGGGACCGAGGGATTGCTTCAGGTCAGTGACAGGGCAGGATCGGTGCCAGTGGCCCAGCCAAGCTCCCCTCCATCAGCCCCTCTGAGTCACAGTCCCCCTCCAGAGCAGCGGAGCCACTGTGCTGGAGCCCAGCTCTGCCCTCCTGCCCGCCCTGCCTCCCCGCAGCCTCTGCCCCAGCTCTTCCTTCTCAGCTGGAGCCGGCAGGTGGACAGGCGAGCAGCCTGCCCCTCTGCTCTCCGTCACCATCACCCCGTTACGTCCCTCCAACACCATCCTCCAGCCCTGAGTCTCAGGCCAGGCTTCCTCACCCTTTAGCACCATCCCAGCGATTTCCAGGTTACCCTGCTCTCTCACCCCAGAAGAATTGCATCAGATTGCACACGATGGAGGGAACAACACAGAACAAGTGGCTTGCTGTCTGCACAGCACAGCACAGCACCCCAGCTGTGCCACTGCGCTCGAGCCCAGCTGCAGAAGCTCCTCGTGAGGTCCAGATCCTGCCATTGCTGTTCTATGGGCAGCTCCGACCAGCATGCCCATTGCAGAAAAATTAGGTGCCTTTATTAATTAGGAACAACTGTTTTCATGACAAGGTCTATTGCCATTAACCTATCAGTGTTGTAGATTTCAGAGTTGAGATTTTTGTGGTTTTCTTTAAAAGAGCAGCAAAACAGCTTAAGTGGGCTCTGACACTGAATGCCTCCCCCCAGACAACTGACCAAACCTCAGGTTTTAGTGGAGTTTTACGTGAGAGGAAAATTCCAGTCAGTATTGGCAAGAACGGTGATTCTGCTCCTCTTTTTTACTTTTTTTAAACACTGTTTCTATAACAACAAGTCAGTATTATTGGGAAGTACATTTTTTTGAGTAGCCTCTTTTGGCAGCTTAGAAAGAGCAGGTATACATACTGCAGCTTAAAGCAAAATTATATATAAAGAAAAAGGTGGCCTGCCTCCTCACGGTTTCTTGTCCTCGTTTTTCTTGAGGGATCATCTTCTCTATTATCATTCATATTTTGGTCAAAATCCTTCAGTTCCACTGATCCCGGAGGCACTTTCTGGTAGTTCAGACTTGCTTCTGGAATGTGCTGCACCAACTTGAAAACAATGAGTAATGCGTCATTAAGAATTAGTAGGGAAGGAGGCACACAGGCACTTACTGCAGGTATTGCACATTTTCAGGCAACCCCCAGAGGAACACTGATTCATTTAAGTCTTGTTCAGACAGGTATGGGATCCCAAGCAAATTACTAGACCCCAATCCTGCAAGCATCCACCCACTGGAGTCATCCTACAAAACTCAGTGGGGCTATTCCACTTTAATTTTGAGACTTGAGCATGTAGTCGAAAAGCACATCTTTACCCTTTTTTAAATTTAGGCTAAAACTCAAAAATGTCCTGTTTTCCCATATCTTATGTTTTAATATATCAGTGCAACACATTAACATCACGCTAAAATTAATCAGAAACCATTTAGTAACACATGGAAGAGATGAAAAAGCAATACAAAACCACTGATAATGCAAATCATTAACAAGAAGAACAGAAAAGGCAAGACACCTGTTTGGTTGACTGACAGACAAAAACTCTAAAAGAAGGGGAGGAAAATAACAGTGACAAGACAGAAGAGGTACAAAAATAATGGGATGGAAAGTGCACCTGAGATGGATATGCCAGCCGAAAAGATCTACGAGCAATCTGTGTTAAAACAGAAACAAAGAGATCAATGCTAGTGAATGACTGTGACAGCAAGTATCAAAGGGAACGCGTGGTTCGGGGTTATTTTGGGTTGATACTCCCAAAAGCGCATTTCTGAGGACCAGCACTCGCTGCCCACCCCCTGCATGCACTGAAGCCCGTGGAGGTCCTGGTCACCAATCAATTCTGCAAAGGTGGTCTCGGGCAGCTCCCCAGTTACTTCAAAACAGACCGTGCCGAGTGAAATCCAGCAGCCCTCCCAGCACAGAGAATGGGCTAAACATACAGCCCAGGAGGCTCCTGGGTGGGCAAAGCACATAGCTCTTGCAAGGAAACCATGTGCCATCCAAGGTCCAGGCTCCCCACACTCCACGCAATAGCACTTGGGTTATACACAGGCAGAAGGTACAAGTTATTATGGTACTGGGGCACAACAGCCAAAATACTTAGCTAATAAGCTTCTCTATTTTAAGCATCCTTTCATGAAGTGCAGAAGAGTAAGTTAGGCTGCTTGCAGCAGTGAAACAGCGTCAGAAGAGAATGAGACATTCCTACAGTCCAGCAGTTCTCAGCACAGCCAGTTGAAAACACGGTAACAACAGCATCTGCTCCGCCACCACCAGATTTTCGCACATGACCTGGTCTGTTCTTGTGCCTTCTGTTCTGTCTGCACACCCGTAAGCATTCCCTCTTGTCATACCAGCACTCCTACTGCGTACGCTAAACACCAACTTAACAAACATAACTGGGCTTTTAGGTTTTTGCCATGCCATTATCAACTTTAAAAAAAAAAAATAATCAACCAAAAGAATTTCCCACAGGGCTAAAATTTGCAGAAGTGGCCAGTGATTTGGGATGACCCACGGGACCATGCTCGCAGCAGCAGCTGAGCTTTCAGTCTGACTGCCTGGCTCTGCAGAAAGCCAGGTCCTGTACAAGCCTACACGCCCACCACCCAAGGCATCCCAACCACCCGTGGCTTTGGTAAACAGGAACCATTAGCCCTTGCTGAACTCTTTTTTGTTTTGCTTGGGTTTTTTTTTTTTGCTTAATTTGTAGCAGTACTCAGCTCAGTATGCCAACAATCTAGGTTATTATAAACTACACAGCTGAGGCTACAAAAACAAACAAAACCACCCCAAACACAACTGAAAACCTCCCCTGCAAACATCCAAGCCAACACTGTACCAGAAAGGACAGAACATAAGAATAAGGTTTAAATCTAAGGCTCCATCTTAACTTTTAAGGGAACACTCATGATTTTAATCTTTAACCAAGCTTCATAATAAAAGTAATTTAAAAAGCAATTCATTTGAGGCTGAGAAATGCTGTGCTGCACACTGGTCTGAAGTGAAGCTTCTGGTACGGCATTAAACCCTCAAAAGTGATTCCAGCATCAGTCCTTGTTTTTCTTGCATTTTTCCCCACTTTATTAGAATAGGTATAATTATTTAGTAGTAGAAAATCAGGAGCTAGCAGAACAGCATACGCTGCTGTGGCTCTTGCAGTAAGAGACAGTCACACACAGCAAACAGTTCTTATTCACATACTTCCTTTTATCAGACGTTTCAATGCATTACTGCTGTAACTACAGTAGCTATTTCTCATCACTGTATTAAATATTCTAGGGAAGGACAAAGTTGTTTAATAAACAGTCACAAAACTCACAGTGCTTAGCATCACACACACCAATCTTCTGGTATTTCCCAGCAACTCCCCTGCATTAAGCCAAAATAATTATTTTAGCACAGGTTCAGC